AGAATGGGAGCGGGTGAAAATACGTACGTACAAACGCCATTTGATTTAGAAGAAGTAAACAGGATACAATGTAACAAATTGAACGGGTTGGGCATTGAAAACACAGATGATTACATAGAAATACCAAGGATATATGGAATTCTTAAATGCATAAAGATCCTATCAAGTTTAGATTTATAACTGGAGCCAAATGAAGTACTTTGAAACCATTGACAAATTTCTTACAAATAATACTATCTCACTTTCCTAAACATTTTCGTAACTACTGTAACGTCATCAAGCTAAGAACCAACGTTAAGCACCTTTGGGCGATTGATAACAGTAGACAAGTCATACAGGAACTTACTAGTAACACTAGTCATTTGGAAATCTATTCGGCAGATTTTTCTAGTCTATTCACTGATCTACCTCATAATGTCGTAAGAACCAGCCTCGAAAAACTCATTCTATTATGTATGAAAGGATATAAGTTTGTCCTTTACAACGGCAAGGTTCAATACTCCAATGAAACGAAGGGTAAAGGTAAACATTACCAAGTAGAGGACATATTATACATGTTAGATGTATTATTGGAATATAGCTATGTATATTTTGCAGGGAAGGTGTACAAGCAAGTTAGGGGAATACCAGAAGGGGCGTCCTGTAGTCCACAAATAGCAGATCTTACTTTAGCACACATGGAATATTCTTTTATCAGAAAACAAATGACGGGTAGAAACAGTAACATATACGTACTCAGACAATCGATCGGACCCCTCCGCCGGACCCTCGGAAACTGCCAGGGTCGCGCCGGACCCAGTTGACCAATGAGAGAAGTGCAAATGGGCGGTCCATCGCGGTGGCATCACTGGCAGGCAAATGGGAGGCTTCTCCGGCCCTGCTGCAAAGGTCCGCCATTTCTCCGGCGCGACTCTGCCAGATTTGACGGACTCCGCGCCGCAGAGGTCTGCGCGGCGCGTGTCCGCCAAATTTGGAAGACACGCGCCGGAAAAAATCGGAGGGGTCCGGAGCAGAAATGGGAGGTATCCGGAGCAGAAAATGGGGGGTATCCGGAGCAGAAAATAGGGGGTATCCGGAGCAGAAGATGGGGGGTATCCGGAGCAGAAAATAGGGGGTATCCGCCGGAGAAATGGGAGGTATCCGGAGCAGGCTGCGTATCGATTTGGCGCGTAGCAAGCAAACGTATAACTCCACGGTGATGAGTCCTCTGTTTACGCTCTTTGTCCATATTTTAGTCGCCGTTTCTTTGATTCTGTTGTTTTTGCGCGTTTCTTTACCGTTTTTTCCTTTTCCGCGTTGCTCTTCGTCGCGTTGGCGTTTATGTTGCTGTAAGTTCCTCGTTTTCAGGTTTATGTTTGAAATTTTCGTGCGGTTGCACTCAATCACCTTCAGTGTTTGGCTCTTTCCGACTTGCTGAGACATCGTAGACTATTGATGGAGTGGTTTTTGTGATTAATTCTGGATTTTCGAAACAATGAGGTTAGTTGCGCAACTATCTAGTGTTGTTGTGATGAAAGTATCGTCTAAATAATCCGTGTTGTTGTTCCGTGTCACACAGTGCTTACCAGCCTGGCTAACGAGCGTTTTATGCAAAGAATATACCTTTAGGTAGAAAAAGATATAAAGGATGCATCTTTGGTAGGATAGGTAGTTTTTTGTTTTTGAACTGCGATACTCGAAAACGCTTTGCACACGTTACACAGGCTCAAACATGTTTGCTCTCTGATTTCCAAGATTGTTACATCCAAGATAAATTAGAGCACATGTTTCAACTTGTTAATTACACGTGTCCAAAGCTTTTCGAGGTTGTCTCACACGAAACGATAATCATTTCATTCCTTTACCGTAGATATATCCACCATTTGCAACTGATGCCAACTGCGTTAATCAAGCTGCTGTACAATAACTTGCTTTGTAGGCATAAGTTGTAATCGCTCATATCGCGAATTCACTATGAATGCGGGTTTGAACTTGTCGCCGAATGCAAATTTATTTTCCGCGGCGCGAAGTTGGCGTAATCAAACCATTATTTGGTTTTTTCTTCCTTCCTTTCATTCACATTCTTAACAGCAAGCTTTGAAAAATTGCTTTTCCAAGCACTTTCCGCAATCAAATCTAGGAAGGAACATAAAGCACGTTTTTCAAAAGAGTTCTGACTAATCACTCCTCTTTGTAGACGTCTTCTAGCTGATATAACCGCTTCGTTTTCTTCTTTATCCTTTGTGCCTACTTCAGTTGGTAAGGGCTACGCTTGCAGTTCTGGCTTATCCCATATCATCGGCAGTCCGTCGTCCTTATGGTTATTTTAGAGCTGCTTCTTGCAAACTTCATCTATCTTCATCGATCGTTCACTTCATTATTCACAATCGTTTCTGGTTCAAGTTTCTTTGAATAAAGCAAGTTTTTAGCATGGACTACTTGTTGGATCGGTATTTGTTCGATAACTTGCCTTTCACAGTCTCGCCTGAAACTAGGAAAGGTATAGGTCAGAAAGCTGTCACCATGGTCCAGGTGAGGTTTTGTACCGTGTTACGGTGAGGTCTTTAGTGAGTTTTTGGAAAGCTCTTTTCTTTTACTTTATCAAATATCAAATAAGCCTATCGTCATGGCGGTCGGTATCTATACACATGGATTGCCGTAATTGTACATGCGTTTGCCATCGAAACACTAGCTATCTCTGTACCAGAATTGAATCTTTATTGGCATGCACAGGTATTTATCTTTCTTCTCAGCAACACTCGACTTCATAATTATCCTGTTTAGGGGATGTTGAGCTTTTTTGGAATGAGAGTTCCTCTCTATGCCCTTTTTAGATTTCATCAAATGTTTCTCTACACATCCTATGTCCTTGTTAGCAGGTATCTCATGTACAGGGCTTTTCAACCTGAGAGTCGCAAGTTTCGCTTGCGCGGCTCCTCCAACGCGGCCGCCTCGCTCAGGCCGCGCGCGGCGTTTGCTGCGTATCCCCCGGATTTCGCCAAGCTTCAGTCGACGCGCAGCCAGCGCCACGAACGCTGCGCGGACCTAAGCGTGGCGTCCTAGCGGGGCGGGTGGGACACTCAGGTTGTAAAGCCCTGTACACATTTATTAGTCCACAGAATTTTCATACATTTTTTACTAGCGGGAAAATCTTCCGATCAAAATTGTAGACGTAAACTTTAACGGATAACGGTTAAGAGTTTCTGCACGGTCCTGTTTTTCGAACAGCTTGTGAAGGGGGGCGCCTACCCCGTTCCCCCCCCCCCCCCCCCCGACTTGTTGCTTCATTAAAAATTGATCGCTGGTTAATCCTTCTTCAACTTTTTTCACCAATACAGGTCAAGTCAGCTCAGGCCTTATAACAGTAACAGTAATTTCAGTCTTGGATAGAAATCACTTCTAAGTTCCCCTTGTCCACTTTGGTGATTGTGAGCGTAAATTTATATTTATTGCCATTTCAGAATGCGCCTACCTTGGTGGGATGAAGGGCCTGCAGTTGGCCTGAGTTCTGTGATGCTTCAATTACCATTCCGTATGTTAGGTACGAAATTGCTGTGGTGGACGTGGCACGATACTGATTCAACGATTGAAGACAGTTCTTTTTTCGTCTTTTCTTGGTGTCCTCGATTTTCCACATGCATACAGAATGTTCTGGACTCCATGGAGCTCTTTATACTTTTATGCCGCATGTGCTTGTTCTTTTGTATGGATGCTCCGACTAACTAGACGCTTGTTGCTTGAAAAGGAGTATGACTGGATGAAGTAAGCGGTCATCTAATGTAAGGTGAGCTGGAATTTAAAACGCGCCATCTTCAGATTCCCAAAGGAGTTGACATGCTCCTTTCTAACTGGAGTACTGTCGTACTGGCTAGGAACCGCACAGTTTGTCTGTTTTGTTTCATGTTGCACAGAATGCTTTTTTGATCTTTTTGTCATTTTTTTACCATGTTAAAACCATATGCTTATACTGTGGTGTTACAAGGTTCTTTTTGCAACTAGGAAATTAGTTTTTCTTTCAATATTCTTATCTCTAACTCCTAGTATGGTTTTTGTAATATGAATTAACTGTTGTACGTATGCTGGAGATAGATAGATAGATTTTTCGAAAGTTTGAAAAATTTGAAATAAATGTCTTATCTCTTCGTTCTTTCTTCTATCTTCTATCCACAAACGCTAGGGGTGAGAGGGAGGGGGTAGAGTACGGGGTGAGGGTCGCGCTAAACTCCTACCCGGGGGGGGGTCCTATTCGGCTTATTTGGGTGGGGTTTAGAGACAAAATTGGGGTTTGGAGCTTAAAGGCAGCGTCCAGGCAAGTCTGGACCTATGGGGATTTTACATGGAAAGTACTTTTGGGGCCCTAACTAAGGCACTGCCGAAGCAGCAGTTCAGGTAGTGCTCTAATGGCGGAGATATTCCCCTCGAAATAGACCCCCCGTGAACGTATTCGCATGGATTCATGGCAGTTTCGCGCCAGGATCCACGCTTTGCGCCATGAATCCATGCGAAACACGGTCGCGGGGTCCGGTTTCGAGCAGAATATCTCAGGCGTTAGAGCACTACTTGAGCTGCCGGTTGGGTAGTGGCTTAGTTAGGGCCCCAAAAGTACTTTCCATGTAAAATCCCCATAGGTCCAAACTTGCCTGGACGCTGCCTTTAAGCTCCAAACCCCAATTTTGTCTCTAAACCCCACCCAAATAAGCCGAATAGGACCCCCTCCCCCCCGGGTAGGAGTTTAGCGCGACCCTCACCCCGTTACTCTACCCCCTCCCTCTCACCCCTAGCGTTTTTGGATAGAAGATAGAAGAAAGAACGAAGAGATAAGACATTTATTTCAAATTTTTCAAACTTCTTCGAAAAATCATCTTATATCGTAAATCATTTCACACCCACTGGTGTAAAAGAATGAACCTTTCCAACCAAACAACAGATACTCTCTTGCTGTGTTCCTGAATGTGATGTCACCCGTGAGCAAAAGCATATAAAAAGCTACAAAGTCGTTGAGGAATATACATTTAGATGCTTTAGATGTAAAAGTGGTTGAGCGAGTATGCCTCCTTAGGATGTAGAGAGTCACCAGCGCAGATGTCCTTGATCTGTTGCACCCAAATACGTAGCTCCGGTACGGTCAGTTTCATTAACCCTGCGGGGTAGCTGAAATCAAATTCGTCGAACTGCAAAGTTGTAGCGAGGAGTATGTACGATCACAAAGGATACACCACGGTAAAGAAGATGGGCAATGATAGAATTAGTAGCAGACAGAGACGTAATGAAATAATTAGAACTGACAAAGCAAAAATTAAAAACATGCACAGAGTGCTTACCTGAGTAGGATTCAGCATATGCACTGATTCGCAGAATCTGAAGGGTCCTAGCTGGTTGCTGTGATGGTACAGCAGCATCTCCTAAGCCATTCATTCATAAATTTGAAAGTTCGTTATATCGGACTATTTGCGGCTAGAACTGCTGCGCCAATGGTTTTTTCTGAGCGATGATGGCACAAAATGGTGGGAGCAAAAGAAGAAATGACTTTGTCAACAACGTACCGTTGACGGGAACTCCCATCTGCCGATCGGCTGGTGATACCATTCAGGAACATTTTGTCTACCACGACTGGGACCTGGCTGCTGATCTTCAATCGAGTCTTGGCGTTCCGAATGCTCCCGATTGACAGTACACATCTGCTTCGTAGGCTGCTCCTTCACCTGCTCGACTGGCAATGGGTCCGACTTCACAATTTCTTGCTGTAAGTACCGCCTGCAGCACTGTTGTGCATGTTTGCGGTGGTTTGTGATGGCTTGAGGTTGACGCTGCCATTCGCATAATGTACTCGTTCAATGTTATCAACTGTTGCTGGCGAGTGATGTCTTCCGAGCCGACAGGATACTCGTTTGGTTCACGATTTATATGTTCAAGATTCAGACATGTCTTGCGAACAGATTCCATCCATCGTGAAAATTGCATAATGTGACTTGAAACTGATGGCAATACCTTGCTCAGTTCATCTCCTAGCGCTTGCAATTCTGCAAGCAATAAAAGGTAAATATAAGATTTGAGCAAGAGATACCTACCCTTGCATAATTTGTCCGCTTTGATGTCAGATGATCGCAACAGATAAGACCCGCTCAGTACGCTGCATGTAATATAAGGGGATATTCCAAGCAGCACCATACGTCACGAGCATAGCTGGAAACAGTCTATCCAGCTGAACATAAGAGACTATTTGTGCACTCACATTTCGGAATGCTACTTCATCACGGATTTTGTTTATGATATTCATCAGTTCTTCTTGATATTCTTTTCTCTCGCATCACCCTCAGCAACACTTGCACTATCGCCAGTCTCCACATCCTAAGAAACGCCGATGATGCCCGAAACATAAAGCACATATTCATTTAGAAAAAAACTTGCATGGCTTGTAGCTTATTCAGCGTCTCGTCTACAGCCTCCATAGGGTTGTTTCATGCTGCAGTCGCTGCTGCAACTGCAGTCAGATTGGGGCGGGCAAAAGATATAGATCGGTCGACGTTCAGCGCTGCAGCGACTGCAGTATGAAACAACCCATAAAAGACGCTTTTGTATCCCTGGAAAACCATTATTTCATCAATAGGAGAGACCTAAACCATCAAACATCATGGTAACTTACGGTAAACAAGGTGTTAACGCACCTCTACATCAGACTCATGAACAACAACGGGCTTCATCAAAGCTGCTCCACAAATTTACAGTCTATAGGTACTTTGGAAAACGATGCCACCATCATGCTTCTACAACTGTGAAAGTTCACAAAGTGCCGTAAATTAACCAAACAAGGCTTACCTTTTCAAACCCTCCGCAGCCGTTCAATCCAGCCAGAAAAGTCATTATTAGGACCAGAAAGGGTAGGACTGGCAGGATACGAATACCATCAAGATCCCTTCCAATCGGTCTCTCGCATCCTTGAGAGGCAGTAAGCACCATGATGCATTATGTGAATTTGGCGAAAGGTAGTCATTTTGGGTGATCCACTCTGCGCGATTGCGAATTGTGTGGACGACATGACATCTACAATGGGAAATATATAAAATAGATGTAAAGTCACAGGCGATGATTCAAGAAGTCCAATGCTTAGTGCTAAGCTTGATCATGTACTATTCATACACCAAAAAATGTTACGAACTTGAAATACTTGAAACTTGAAATAGTCACTCACTGCTAACGCAGGTGACTCACGTTATCTACTATGCTTTTTTCCTCTTGTCTAGCGGGAATTGCAACATAATGAAAGTGAATAAGCGGAGATACTACTAAAAACAATATAAATAATACAAAGGACGCTCCTGCAATCAAAGAAAGTAAGATGGTTTCCACTGCTCCGGGGCCACTTACCAGTCCATCTGTTGAGAAAGGACCTTCTTTTTGCCATGTACCTGTAATATCGTGGCCAAGTTTTCAAGTATTGAAAAAAACTTAAACTACAAAATTCTTCAGGGTTCGATCAACCATCATCGCTGTTACCGCTGCTACTGATGTTAGACGATGGAATGATCAACATTACATTACATTATTATTCTTATTTCTCCAAATGAGTACTCAGCGACTGGTGAGGACAGCGTATAACAGTAGGAACAGCGTTAGGCCCGAGTTCACGCGATTTCATCGTCGCGACTGATCCCGACAAAACAACTAACATATGCATGCCGATCTTCTTGCATTTCAGTTGTGATAGTTTTCCAACACGACTAATCGTGAACAACTATCACAACCGAAAATACGAGAAGATCGGCATGCAATGAACGGCAAAGTGATTCATCGGTGGAGATAGCAATAAACGGATTATTTAGACGATACTTTCATCACAACAACACTAGATAGTTGCGCAACTAACCTCATTGTTTCGAAAATCCAGAATTAATCACAAAAACCACTCCATCAATAGTCTACGATGTCTCAGCAAGTCGGAAAGATCCAAACACTGAAGGTGATTGAGTGCAAGCGCACCAAAATTTGAAACATAAACCTGAAAACGAGGAACTTACAACAACATAAACGCCAACGCGACGAAGAGCAACGCGGAAAAGAAAAAAAAACGGTAAAGAAACGCGCAAAAACAACAAAATCAAAGAAACGGCGACTAAAATATGGACAAAGAGCGTAAACAGAGGACTCATCACCGTGGAGTTAGACGTTTGCTTGCTACGCGCCAAATCGATACGCAGCCCGCTCCGGATACCTCCCATTTTCTGCTCCGGATACCTCCCATTTCTCCGGCGGATACCTCCCATTTTCTGCTCCGGATACCTCCCATTTTCTGCTCCGGATACCTCCCATTTTCTGCTCCGGAGGCCTCCCATTTCTGCTCCGGACCCCTCCCATTTTCTCCGGCGCGGCTCTTCCAAATTTGGCGGACACGCGCCGCGCAAATTTTCCGCGGCGCGGAGTCCGCCAAATCTGGCAGAGTCGCGCCGGAGAAATGGCGGACCTTTGCAGCAGGCCCGGAGAAGCCTCCCATTTGCCTGCCAGTGATGCACCGCGATGGACCGCCCATTTGCCCTTCTCTCATTGGTCAACTGGGTCCGGCGCGACTCTGGCAGTTTCGGAGGGTCCGGCGGAGGGGTCCCGTCGATTGTCTGAGTAGGTACATCGATGACATACTACATACGTCCTACGACGTATCTTTGTTTACGAATAAACTCAAAGAAATATATCATCCTTTTTTAGAAATCGAACCAGCTTGCAAAAACTCACAAACAAATTTTTTGGATCTTACTATTTCCCTTAGAGAAGGTAGCATTAAGTTTTCTATGTATAATTATACCAATAATTCTAACTTCAACGTTACTAGATATCCAAATTGGACGTCCAATATACCAAGATCTATCTTATTCAATACACTTGCATCCGAAATAGTTAGAATTTGTAGAAAGTGCTCTGACTTTCTGGATTTCAAAAAGAGAATTTTTGAAATAGGAATGACTTGCTGGGAAAGAAATAATTTTATTAGAGCATTATATTATATCTTATCTTTCAAAATAGACCTTTTATTTTACGTAAATATGGATTTAGTACTAGTGTGCATTTGCCTCTTGTGCATGAGGTGAGGAATGCGTGGCCCATTACAACTAAGATTATATTGGCGGGAAATAATTTATTCAAATAGAATGAATCTTCGAAAGTACATCTGATAACAGTAAGACATGTTTGCTTCAATATCTCTTTACTGCGTTTCATCATATCTCTTATGCCTTCACATAAGACCAGATATGTTTTGGACACTTCCTTGGGAACTACTGATGAAAGTGTTTCGACACGGGGGCACCAAGGAAGGTCGCATATCTGGTCTAGTTCTTAGCCCCGAAATGTGCGCAAAAACATTTATAGGTTCTGTCTTTTCTTTGTATATTCTCTTTCTCTTTCCCTTTCCTTTTCTACCTTTAAAGGCTATATTGACACTTCGTTTTCATCTATGTATATATTCAGTTGCTTATCTTCCTTATGAAGACCGTACGTTTTATTCGTAGATAAATGTTATTGATAGCAATCATTTACGATTGAAACATCTATGTTGCTAGAGCCGCGGAAGAAACCACGGAGCTATGCCTGAGTACATGTTTTATAATTAGAAGCTGTGGCTCTCGTACATCAGTGAAACAATGGAACCAACATGGCGAGCATTGAGGACTATGAAATAACACGTATGCTAGATGCGACCAATTAAGGCAGAGGTTCGAGAAAACTGAACATTTCGGAGTCCGGATATGTTAGGTTGCTCACATTCCAAGTCTATTTTGCGAGCGCACAGCACACTGCCGCTGCCAAGAAAACCGTTCTCGAACTCGTGCTTGTAAGGCATTTTTTCACGCCACTCGGACAAGCTCGCGATTACCCTCCCACCGTTGGAGGGTTGAACCATAGTGCGCGGCGTACGGGCGTAAGTGACGTGCAGCGTACGCTCGGTATTTTTCATCATAGGAGCGTACGCCGCGCAGTCTGGGTCAACTCGGAAGCGGCATGCCGACTCCTTATAAGCATGTGGCTCCACCAACGGTTCCGCGTCTTCAACCTTGGCGTCTCTTGTTCTACTCGTCCAAATTTGAAATGAGGGGCCTTTTAAAAAGCTGGTTTTCGTCAATTTCGCGCTTTCTAAAGTGAGTTTTTGGCATCAGCGCGTCGGATTACCTCAGGTAAGCAAAGAAATTCAGGCCGATTATTTGCCAAGTCACTGCCTTCAAACATCACCGGCATAGTGGCATCCAAAATTGCAAACAATACAGTCTGAAGTAAGACGAAGTAATAACGTGTTCGAGAGCAACTGGGGCGACTGCATGCGAGATGCAGGCGAGACACTAGGTTGATGCGACTATTAAGCAAAGTTACCTAAAAGCAGGGAAATGTGTATTTTAACTACCATTTCTTCAATTAGATAAGAGGTGTGCCACAAAGATGAGTAGTAAAAAGGTTGACATACGGCTCCGTGCGGTTCCTGCCAATCGTGCCATAATTGACAAGGCCATTTTGCCTCCCCTTCTGCCAAATTCCTATCCTCAGCTGAAACTAAGCGTTAGAAGGCAACAGATGATCATTAGTTGTTAATTAATTAGCAACTCTAAGGGCCGCATGCACTAACCTTTTCGCGGGGAGGGGATTGCAGCTTAAAAGAAAGCTTTATATTTCGAAACTCCAGATACGTGAATTTCACGTTGTGTACCTATCCGTAAGTATTCGTACTACCCTTCACTATGAACATGTTGAACAGGAGCAAGAAGCTGTACGAACCGCATTTTCCAGCTTTTGTATGATCCCTGATGATCCCCGGCGCTTTTCTCTAAAGTCAATTTTCTTTCTCCGAAGTTAATGAAAACCTTCCAAAGTTGTACTGAACATCTAACACAACAGTGCTAAGCATGTTGCTGATGAGAACAAATGAGTTTTTGAAAAGTCGAATTTTTCGGCAAACCTCAAATTTCGACCTATGGATCATCGAAAATTTCATGACTTCAAAACATCATTTGTTCCTATCAGACACATGCTTAGCACTGTTATGTTAGATGTTCAGTACAACTTTGGAAGGTTTTCGTTAGCTTCGAAAGAAAATTGACTTTAAAGAAAAGCGCCGGGGATCATCAGGGATCATACAAAAGCTGGAAAATGCGGTTCGTACAAGTTCTCGCTCCTCTTCAACATGTTCATAGTGAAGGGTAGTACGAATACTTACGCATAGGTACACAACGTGAAATCCAGGTATCTGGAGTTTCGAAATATAGAGCTTTCTTTTAAGCTGCGATCCCCTCCCCGCGGGGAGGTTAGTGCATGCGGCCCTAAGTGTCCTACTGTAGTGAACTCATCTTTGGCCTCTCAAAACCGAAAGTGCAACAAGTTAATAATTTGGTGAAAGTCAGTATTTGATGAACCACTGTCTACCTACACGTTTCTATCTCTGTGTTTATCCCATTTAACAAATTTGATAGATAATCAAGGAGTGTAGTACAGTAAATAGTTATTATTCTCGTGATCGGCAATCTCTCTATCCTGTTAACCATCTTGTGTCTTCGACAATTTTTTATACAGAGATACACGGTGTAAATGTGTGCCATAACAAATTGAAGAAGCAGACAGGGAAAGGCGGAAATAATTTCAACTTTGCTGCTTGCGCGTCGTATCCAGGTGATAAAGCTTGTAGAGTTCTTAGATCAGAATCTTGGAAGAAGTTGGGGTTCATACTGGCGAGCATCAAGAGTGATAATAATAATAGCTGGGATGTAGATACTGATAGGGAAACAGCAAAATTTACTTAATACTAACGTATTTATACAACAGTATCGTAGAAACCTATATGTTCAAGTCGCATGATTTTGCGTACTAAAAACGCCAGTCATGCCTTTTGCATCAGTACGAGTGAGCACTATGAATTGTCCAATCCCAGCTTAAATGGAATCGCGGGCAACAATAAGTGGCAATTTGTTTCAGCGATGCTCACTTGTTCAACGTTTTCCTTTGAAACTTGTTTATCACGGATAACATTGCGAAAATTGATCGTGGTACCTCCGAATACAGTCTTAACAAAAAGTGGTTGTGACCAACAAATGCACATTCTATAGCTTGAACTAGGAAACAAGCAGTCGAAGTCAATAGATAGCGCTCCAATTGATTTTTTAATCGAATGTTTAGAATATCTCTTAATTTTTTTAGGAATGTCAAATCTATTAAAATGACAGGGGAGTGGATTGGAATTGGACACTGAGATGCTTTTGATACACTTCGTGCTTCCGAAGTTTACTCAACATGTGGTACTATATAATTATACAGGCGTTGAAACGTTAAATAAAAATTGATCGATTTTCTTTCTCACAACTCATCTATACTTTTTGCTTTAGTATAGTTTTGCATCTATCTGATTAGACCGTACAAGTTTTCAAGAAGTTCATATTAGAATTTATTGAACTTCACAGAGAGTTTTCAGAACCATTGGCTTTCATAGAATATAGAACGTTATATTAGGGTGATCGCTAAAAAATGGGGCAGCTTGATTTTTATTAGATTTTGAGAGTTTTTGTTTCTATCAACAATAAGCAGGCTGCAACGTATACGTCGCTTATATAAGCGACCTTTGCCTATTATTCTGGCAAAGCTCAACGCTCCTCTCCCACAACCCTATGCGTGACGTCCTGAAGAACTCGAACAAGCTTTGAACATCGCTCATTCTTGCGCAGCCATACCGTAAAGTTATAGAGCAATTGATACACCATTCGAAAGAGCTCTTCATGTTCTTTCAAACAGTTTAATGGACATACAGGTTTTTTCCCTATTTCTGGGTAAAAAAGCTAAATACCTGAAAAATCGCGATTTTTTGGCGCAACAAAAACCAATAAATCAAGTTTCAATCTGTATTTCCCGAAGATAGATAAAATGTGAGATAAGCTGCATATGGATGGATAGAGCGCAGAAAGTTTTTTCAGATGGTACCTATAAAACATGCGTTTACCTGCAAAGAATTGAATAGCACGTATCTTTGTTCTCAACGATGCTAATGGCCATATCTTCTGAATTTGAAAGTTGAGGCCAGCAACCCACCGTGGGTCTGGTCTGTACCCTCACGCATTGCAGCAGTAGTACCATGGGTGGTTTCGCATGTCTCACTGCGCAGATACTGCCCGAAGTTTATAATTTTTCAAAGTGACTAACTTTCCATTTCAGCCACTATAAAAATTATTGGTTATGTAAATGACCTTATATAGGTGTTTTCTGAAAGACAATAATTTGTTCTAACATCTGTCAAAATTGGGAAGTTTAATCACTTTTCTTTTTTGAGAAATCTACATTTAATTCTCTGAATGCCCCATTTTTTACTGATCACCCTAATATTTGGTGAATTAGTGACAAATTCATTAAACTACCATTACACATTGTTTGTGCGTTATTGGATCCTCCACTGGTGTGTATCGCTAAACCACAGCAGTTGAGGTGCCTGTTTAGTCACATCCAGACCATTCAGATATTTTGCTAATCCTTTGCACTTTCAATGAACTGCCTTAAAGTTCAACTACGAGGTAAGGAGCTGCAATAAAGTGCGGATTGCTAAACAAAGCAATAATGATGCAGGGCATGCGTTGAAAAGTGTGTGTATTTATAGAAAGGTATTTAAAGCTTTCCATTACAACTGTGAATCTCTGAGCGATCATTATTTTGGTTTATCAAAGAATTAGGTAGTTTCGAACGTTTCATGGTTAGTTGGCTTGCCTGAGTTTGTCTCGTTGCTTTATCAATTACCATTAGCGACTTGCGCGAAACTTCGCTTTCCGTAAGAGGGCAAAGCTGTTTGTTTACCACTTCTTTGATGGTTCAAATCTGGGTTTAACGCCCGAAGGCTTGGAGCGAAAAGAATAAATTTGTTGAAGTTCTGTATAATAACAATGCATCAGGACTCTCAAACGAGTCTCCTTACACGACTGCTGACGCCCCACCTCCTTTTAGAATTCCTACAATGTCAGTGCTGCTTACTTTAAATTGTGAATAAAACACGTCAGACCGCGAGTTGCGCGGCAAACAAGCATGCACTTTTGCTCTCAAATGAAATAAAGTGAAAGTAGCGGGATAAGTACTATATGCTGTGGGAAAACGCATTGTGTCATTGTTGTTGAAGCATAATTTACGAGTATATGATGGACCGACTAGCAAAAAAATCCAAAGTCCCATGAAATTGATTTATATTCGATTAGATATGAATAGAAATGTTTTCCGGCGGCAAAGTATTCTAAACACATGCGAAAATTTGGGATCTTTTGCAAAAATGTTAAGCCAGAACACAAAGCTTAAAAATTTCAGCTTTCAAATTCCCTTTCCATAATATTGCCCGCAATGCTGTTCGGACCATCACTTGAAAGAAAGCACACAACCAAAGTTAGCAAAGTTGTTGTTCAAGATGGTTATGTAAGAGTCTGGCTAATAATTGGTAATTCTATAATTCTTTGACTACTGGAGTTTTACTTAGCGTGGAGACACGGTGACGATTGAAGTCAAAGATGAAGAGATGAAGAAAGGTTGGATGCATGTCTTTACAACCGACTACAGAAACGTGCAATTCGAAATACTCCGATGCCCGATAACATCAAAAAGAAAAGCAACGAAGGTGAGAGCCCAAATTTATCAAGCGACGGTGTCACGTAACGGAATGCAAAAAAGCAGACCAAATCTGTTTATGATTTCTATTGTGATTTGAATTGCATTTCTACTTTCAATTTTTTCAGAGTCGCCTGAGATGTCCTGACAATATCACTCTTATAGTAAGTGATGTGAAAACTCGCGACAGTGGGTTATACTACAGAGTGAGATCTCGCACAAATCGCACTGGTCTGTACGATGGCCTACTAGTAAGTTTTTCAAAGTAGGTGTAAAGCTTGCTTTGTTACTTAAAGGGAAGGACCCTCGGTCGAAGTGGGGTTCCCACACGTATTACATATCATTGTGCTGGCCTTGGGGGCACTAATATCAAATCGTGTTCCTAAGCTGCTCAGTGATCTTCTGGAAAAAGTTACGAGTGATGGTTTCTCCAGGATGACCACGGATCGCTTAAATTAGTGGCTCCGAGAAATGTCAGTTGTGGAGGGATGGCCGAGTGGATAGCTGCGGAGAGTACAGAGGAAGTGGTAATACGAAATACTTACCAAACATTCTTGCATTTTTGCAAATTAATTAACGAGTGCCGAGGTTTCTCTGCCTTAGGGCCCTTTAAGGATACATAACAAACAATACAATCTACAAAATGGAAGAATGTTTGGGACATAAGTATCCCGAATTTTTTACCACTTCCTCCACAGTCCCTACAGTTATCCACTCGGCCATCCCTCCACAACTGACATCTTTCAGAGCCGCTAACTTAAGCGATCTGTGATCATCCTGGAAAAACTATCGCTCGTAACTTTTTCCAAAAGATCATTGAGCAGCTAAGGAACACGGATTTGTCCCACTATTAGTGCCCCAAAACCAGCACAATAATATGCATCACGTGTGGGAACCCCATTTCGACCGAGTTTCCTTCCCTTGTTAGAATCGATTCTGCTAAGAAAGAAGCGATATCAATCAACAAGGAAAATCCGCCTTTCTCACACAAAAGTTGCAGGCATTCTGCTGGGTCATGCACCAGATGCATACTACTTCAAAATTTTTCACTAAGACTTATGCAGATATCCTTGACTGAGTCTATGCATTGTCTCCTGATTAGCTGACATCACTTTGTTGTCCTAGAAGGATAGAGAGTAGGGGATTAGTTATTCCGAATACGAAAATTTGAGGTCACGGCTTGTAAAGGCGGCCCACACCATTAATCACTTTTTCTCATTATGCTTCTACGAAGTATTAGCTTTGAAAAAAAGGAGAGTCGCTTTTAATTTTATTGTCATGCCATGGTTACAGTTCAATACCAGAAACTTGCATGAAATATTATTCGATAGAGCAAAGCAAGCCCCATGAAATGGGCGTTGCTGCTTTTGCACAAAGTTTGTATCCATGTGAAGTTCGAAGTTGTGAAGTTGGAATCTAAAAGGTTTCAAATGACCGAAAAATCAAAGAATTCGCATCAAAAGCGTTTCTGCGATTCCCGAAATTACTCAGGGATGTACATCCTTATTAAACATTCATATGCGCAGTTGCCATAATTTTTCGTTGTCTTGACATCGAGAAATGGAAGTTTTCATGCTTTTCCCAAAGTGATGCTGATCTGTTCCCGCGTAGGTGGTTATACTGTTTAGCATGGGAAGTGCAGCCATAGATTTTCACCTTCACAAGGGTCAATTCTCGAGAAAAATCGAGATTAGCTTTTTTTTCTTCTGTTCTTCAAATCCAGTTGTATATTCCTCGAAAACTTACCTTCATAGAAGGCTGTCTACGGTAGTAATATCCAAGCTAATCAGTATATAACTACCTAAGCGGGAACAGCCCGCATCACTTTGGTAAAAGCATGAATTTCAATTTCTCGATGTTTAACCAAGGGAAAATTACAGCAACTATGCATATAATTGTTCGAAGGATGTATATCTCCGAGCAATTTGGTGGAATAAATATCTTGAACGAGGATACGAAATGTCTTGATTTTTTGGTCATTTGAAACCTTCTGGATCCCATCTTCGAACTTCACATGGATATAAACTTTGTGCAAAAGCAGTAACGCCATTTATTTTGTAGAGCTTGCTTTGCTCTATCGAATAGTATTTCATGCAAGTTTCTGGGATTTGAACTGTGGTCATGCCATGACGAGAAAACAAAAAGCGACACTTTTCTCTCCACATAGTTGTAATTGCATGTAGGAAGTAGAACTTCTCATGGAAACTCTTTGGTGGAATGTTGAAAACAAAGTCAATCATCTTTTTGCTCAAATTCCAATAAATGATCCAGTATCGTTGGCTCAATCCTTGTGCAGATCTCGTGAGTGGGTTGCTAAACTGTTATTTATCTACCGTTGAGACATGACAGAGCTTGTTTTGGATATCTATAAAACGTTAAATAGTAAATTTCGTTCAAAAACCTCAGTATGCCACAGGAAAACAGTCTTGGTTGCGCAACTTGTTTTCATTCTACAGGACGTTCAAAAATATAAGCAAGATCAAACCAATGCAACTGTACTTGTCGTTTGGCCCTTTACGCGAATGGAAGAAGAAGAAGAGAGAAGACGCGCGAAGGAGCGTGAAGAGCGCAGAATGTAAGCTTAACATCAGTGCTAAAATGAGTAAAATCTATTATTTCAGCCGAGAAGTAATGCTGTCTTACTGGTATAAGTTAGCTCAAAGAGCGAGAATGTATTATGAGTACTCTCAGAAACAAGGCGACGGGTGGCACTGCAAGTTTTCCACTTTATTTTTACCTGCAGAAAAGGGGTTCAAATAATTCAGAGTACTCCCTCCCTCATGTGCCAAACTCAAACAAAACGAGAATACGATCGACAACGAGTTTTAGCTTGATCATGTGCATTATTTCAACTATTTATTTTATCGCTTGTACCCAGTTTCTTATGCCGTGAGTTTGCACGAAGTTCTTTCACAGAGCACGCATGCTACCGTGACGGCGATAAAAAGTGAAGGAAATAACACTTGACAGAGCAAAGGAGGCTTTACGATTTTGAAGTCTGCACAGATCCAGGATCCAAGCGAAATTGTAAATGGGGCCCAGCGTGGTGATGAATGTCAAGCTGCGCTTATAAAACACTCGACCGCGTCCATATAAACATTGCGAGCAGGCTTTTACCTGTTTAATGGCCCAAGCACGACTTGCAAAGCGAAAGTTTCAAAATCAAAAATTCTTTGCATCAAATAGTGAATATTCGGTACTTTACGAACACAGATAGCGAATAGACATCAAATTTGGTACATAAACAGACAGAAAAAATGAGGAACAAACTACGGTAAGTTGGAGAAAGTTTTATGATTGAATGGGGTTTCGTACACTTTTTCAAAGAGACTCAGTATTGAAATGGAGAAACGACTTGTTAGCAAGGCATAGGTAACGGCAGGCACCAAAACCTAAAGCTGGTATATATCAAAGTTGTGTAGCGCAGTGGGGATATGTAATAGCTATGGAGTTACATGTAAAACTTAATTTGCATAACCAACTTTTTCGAATTCAGGGTGGCATTTGTCACTAATTTAATCGCATGATTTTTTCATAACTCCTGCACATATCCGTTCTACACCCAATGCTCACCTATATCGTAGGAATATGGTTTCGAAACTTTTCCTCTTCCTTTTGTCAGAACCCGAGGTAGTAGCAAGTACCAGTCAAAACTACGGTCAGAGTTACCAGCGCACTGCAGCCGCTTTCCCGAGCACTCGGCACTCAACGAGCTGGCACTGCTTGAAGTCGCGTTGTGACATCTTCGCGAAAAAATGTGCCGCGACTTCTTACCCGTATCCAGCAACCAGCGATCCTTGAAAAGGAAAACGCGTCCCTACAATGACGCCGGAAAGCGAACTATAAAATTTGGAAGTGTTCGTAACCCATTCTTCGCATCATCAATCTCGTGCCAAGATGCGATTACGAAAATCTAGGGCTACCAGGCACTCAAAGCCATTGGGCGGAAAGTGCGGCTGGTACTTTGCAGCTTAATTCTCTCGTACATCTTTCGTTTTGATCTATGTTTTGGAACAGGCCTATAACCTGTGTAGATCAATTGAGGAAACAGTTTTGGCATTGTCACTTTATCTTATTCCAACATGCCGAACAACGGACAACACGCAATCAACAATATACGACAACTGCAATGTGTCCGCTACTGTAGGGAATGTGGATCACGGTGTTAAAGGTGGAAGCAATCGAAGGAGATACAAGAAATAGGTATTAGAAGTCTTGGTATGGATTAAATGATACGACTGGAGTATCAGGGGTTTTGACTGTAAGTGAATTAATACGGTGGTCATGTTTGATCTTGTGGATAAGTGACTCTTTTTGATTTTGTTGATGAGCTAAACCGGTCGATGAATCTCATTGCGAAAGTTGGTGCTTAGTGGAATATTAGCTAGACCTCGAGAATGTAACAGGAAAACAAGAAGTAGATGGAAAAATTTGTTGAGTCACAGATAATAAATTCGTAAAATCCCTGCTTACTTATTTCTTCCTGCTATCTTTTAGCTTTTTGGAGCTCAAAATACGAAAAAAACAATTAATTGATAAAGCCCAATTTAGCGGAAGTAGCTCAACGGAAATAGTTCGCCCCAAGCTCAGGTTTCCGAAATGGCTCAGATTCCATAATTCTTTCCAATAGGCGGTCATAACGAAACTGCTAGGCAAGGAACGCCAAGAATCACTAGCGCCAATCGATGATTTTTGGTGAGAAGCTTACAATTAGTAACAGCTACCCCGTCCTAAGTTTTATGGTTTATCAATTTATTCATTCAAATATGCACTCTGGCTGCACCAGAAGCAAACGAATTGAATAAGAGATAATCAGTTGCTGATAATACACTAGTACATTTCCATTCCCTACTAGCTCTTGATGCAACCTCAAAGGCAGCGTTCGGACAAAATTTCGAATGGAATTTTTTTCGCTTACCTGGGTTTATTCCTCCCGCTGATTCTGAAAATGCAGCTTGGAAGACACGAAAATGCCGAAAACGGGCTTTTCCAGAAGCTTCTAATTTGAATTTTGTCGCCTGCCTCCAAGGTTAAGACTGACCCTTTGTGGGACCCTACGTCTTGACTGTGTGCGGTATGCGCACTCTGGCTTATCGAACTAACTCGTTCCGGTAGCCGGAGCGTTCCAGTGCCGCTTCCGAAACGGATTTCTCGCTTCAGAAGCAAATTGGTGCATTGCCAACTGGACAAGAGCCTTACCAGGACGGGCTCCCCTGTACTCTACATTTTCCTATTTGACCGGACGCTGCCTGCGTGACAGATGCGGACTCTAACGGTCGGACATACAGATGATTAGCATAGGGGAATGCTACCGCCCTAAGAGTAGTATAAGCTTCGAGGGCGTCCAAGACAAGCCTGGTTCACGTTAGGTATTCATCAACCTAACAGACCAGCCAGCCAGATACACCTGTATAGCAATTCAAGCAGAACTAGAACTTTAAAGACACACTGCATTTGAATGATGTAGAAACTCAACTCACGAAGGGCAATTGGAATATGACAGGTTGAAGGAAACACTAGCAAAAATTAGTAACAGAAACATCAAACAAAAAAACTAGTGTACAATAATACCAGTAATCACATCCTAAACGGCCAGTGCGACTAGCGGAGAGGAGAGCTACCGGCAGTCTGAAAAAGACAAGAAGGAAAAAGGGGACAGTTTTTAACTTTCTGATTCTTCAACTTGCAATAGATTCATTTCATTTATCTTGCGCTTGAGAACGACTATGCTCTGTGCTGACAAAACGAAAGGAGGCAATTTGTTAAACCATCTGGATATTCTGTAAAAAAGGCTGTTGAATATCAAAAGAAAGCGTTTGTTTTTGATTGAATAATGAATGTTTAACCCACCCATCCTGCAACTTGGTCTGAAAATTTCAGTATTTGCTTGCATTAAGTCTGAGTTCTTTACGTATAAGGCGGAAGGGGAAAATTAGATCAAGGTGTATTCTTCTGTGCTCCAAACTTTTCATTGCCAGGTATTTAAGACAATCTTCATATAATGGCAATTCAGTGAAAGCAAACTTTCTAGAACATCTCAAAAACAGAATGCGAGTAAATATTTGCTGAGCCTTTTTTTTTCTAAAAAAGGAGTCCAAATCACAGAACAATATTCGAGATAAAGCAACACATACGGTTTAAAGAGCCTTTTAAGTATTTAAGTATTGCTGGGTTATCTGTATACTGATCGAAGTATAGTAAATAAGGCTGAATAAGCCTTGTTTACGGCATAGTCACTATGTTCGAAAAACTTTAATTTAGAATCAATTAGAACACATAAATCCTTGGCAATGCAACCCTTCTTCAGAAGAATTCCGTTGATTTCATAATCAGGTTGTTCCTCGTCACAAAATGCATAACAAAACATTTCTCCGAATACAATGGAATATTGAAGCTTGAAGCCCAGTATGCCAGTCGATCCAACGATCTCTTCATTGCAGCCTGAACTTCATGCCATTATCTTTGTCCTAGACCCCGTATGTTTTGACATCGTCTGCATACATCTGAATCGTAATGAGCAGACGTTTTCAAAATAGACTGGACCTCGGCGGTGTACAACAGGAAAAGCAATGGAGAAAGTTCTCCTCTTTGTGGAACGCAGATATGTCTATTTGAAAACTGATGTCCTATTAGGGTGATCACTAAAAAAAATGGGACAGCTCAATTTTTGTCAAATTTTGAGATTTTTTGTTTCGATCGACGACAAGCAGGCTGCAACGTAAACGTCGCTTATATAAGCGACCTTCGCCTATTATTCTGGCAAAGCGTCAACCCTCCTCTTCTACAACCCTATGCGTGGCGCCCTGAAGAACTCGAACAAGGTTTTTTGAACATCGCTCATTCTTGCGCTGTCATACCGTAAAGTTATAGAGCAATTGATACACCATTCGAAAGAGCTCTTCATGCTCTTTCAAACAATAATGTAAACATACAAAACTTCTTTTTATTTCTGGATAAAAAAGCGAAGTACCTGAAAAATCGCGATTTTTTGGCGCAAGAAAAACCAATAAATCAAGTTTCAATCTGTATTTTCTGAAGATAGAAAAATATGAGGTAACCTGCATATGGATGGATAGAGCGTAAAAAGCTCTTTCAGATGGCACCTATAAAGCATGCGTTTACCTGCAAAAAATTGAATAGCACCTATCTTTGCTCTCAACGATGCTAATGGCCATATCTCCTGGATTTGAAAGTTGAGGCCAGCAATCCACCGTGAGTCTGGTGACTGTACACTCACGCATTGCAGCAGTAGTACTATGAGTGGTTTCGCATGTCTCACTGCGCAGATACTGCCCGAAGTTTATAATTTGTCAAAGTGACTAACTTTGCATTTCAGCTAGTATAAAAATTATTAGATATGTAAATGATTTTAGGTATTTTCTGAAAGAGAATAATTTATTCTAACATCTTTCAAAATTGGAAAGTTTAATCACTTTTCTTTTTTGAGAAATCTACCTTTATTCTCTAGGTGCCCCATTTTTTACCGATCACCCTAATACTTTGACTGTCAACCCTGTTGCTCAAGTAAGATAATTAATAAGGGAAGGATACTTGGTGGCCGTGGCGTTTTGGAATGAAACGTACACCACTAAATGCAAATTAAGGCGCTGATTCCAGATTCCAGATCTGCTTTCGGTATCTGCTGTGCGCTTTACCGAAGGATTTTGAACATTTTTTGCCACGAAAATTTGCCTACTTCGAATTATTAAAGAAAGAAGCTGAGCTAAAAATGCAACAGTGTGCTCAATTTCGCTGTTTTT